GCGGATCTGAAGACAATTTCTGCTCTGGGACATTACGGCCTCTCCGTCATTACCGCCGTGGTGGCGCAGAATACCTGCGGCGTAAGAACCGTGACCCCCATGACACCGGATTGCGTTGCTGCGCAAATCGATGCCGTGTTTGACGACGTGCAGATCAGCGCTGTTAAAATCGGAATGCTCCACGATGCCGGGATCATCCATGCCGTCGCGGATCGATTGACCAGATATCGCCCGAAATGGATCGTGCTGGACCCGGTCATGATCGCCAAAAGCGGTGCTCCACTGCTTGAACCGGCGGCCATACACGCGCTTAAGGCGCAGCTGCTGCCGCTCAGCACGGTGATCACACCAAACCTGCCAGAAGCCGCGACACTGCTTGAAACAAGCGCGGCGGAGTCGGACGCAGCCATTCATGCCCAGCTCAACCGCCTGCTCAGGCTGGGGCCTCAAGCCGTACTGATAAAGGGGGGACATAGCAATGACCCAGCCCACAGCACGGATTGGCTGCTTGAAGCGGACAACGCGCATGATCAGCTCAAATCGTTTACCTCACAACGCATTTGCACGCGCAACGATCACGGAACAGGATGTACGTTATCGTCGGCGATTGCGGCGCTTCTTCCGCAAAACACTTTGACCAGCGCCATTCGTCACGCGAAGGCTTATCTTCAGGCGGCGCTGGAGGCGTCCGACCGGATTTCCGTCGGAAGTGGACATGGCCCCCTGCACCACTTCCATAACCTGTGGCCAGCGCGCTGAGGCAAACGGCGTATCTGCGCCCGGCAAGGCCGGGCCGCAGGTCGTCGGTCCGATCAATGATCGACGACGCCCTGCTCAAGCAGATCGGACCCAACCGAAAGCCTGTTCAATCCATTGAGATGCGGCGGCAGGCTTTAATCCTGTCGGCATAAACGCTGAGGTTCTGCTGAATGGATGCTGACGGAATGACCGAAATGGGCACGCCGATACCATCCACACCCGTCTGAAGGACGCTCTCCACGTGAGGCACTTCCACCCCGCCCATCGCAATGACAGGACAGGGCGCTCGTCGAACATAATCTCTCAGCCCCTGTAGC